TGTATATTTATTTTTATACATGATAAAGTATATATAAATATATATGTAATACATAATTTATAAAAAATTTATACAATATATTATATATAAAATATATTTCTTTTTTTATCATTTGTTTTAGTGTCTAAAAATGTATCTATTCTATTCTAACAAAAGAGTATAATTATAATATATAACCTAAATGTAATTATATCATTAATTTTGATAAATATTTCTCGAAAACAAATTAAATTTAACCAAAAGCAATAGTTATCGATTGAACATTGTAACGTGTTATAATATGATGATAATCAGAAGCAACTTCACGATGGTGTGCTGTTCAAGAAATGGCGGATTGTTTTTACACGGGGGAGTTATAAAAATTTGAGCGTGAGACATGTGGGTGTTGTGACGATTCACGAGCAAGTAGTCAATTAAACACTTCTGTCGGCATGAGTGACCGTTTTTGGGAACCTTTAGCCGAAGTGTACATCGCAAAACAAGCAGAGTCTTCTGACTCTGATAATTACATTTATTGTCTTTGCAGCAGAGTATTTATTCGGTAAATACACTTTCAAAAATATGAGTCACTTATTTGATCAAATATCGCAATTTCATTTCTATATTCTATAGCCGTAGCATATTTATTATTTCTTGGAAAATTGAAGGTAGTACTTGCTTATCGATCAGTGGTGTGACACATGACCTAACCTTGACACCCACTCAAATACGAGCTAGGTCATAATATATTTTTTGAAAATTTTATTCAATTTTTTCTTTATTCAACATCTGTTAACAACATGGTAATATTATTTTTCTAACAAATATATTTACAAGGAATTTTTCAACTTCTGAATACTTGTTTTTTTTATTTATGAAATAAGTGTAATCGAAAATAAACAATTTATATCACATGAAATGATCATATAATATTTTTATATTAATTAAATTTTTTTTATTTTTTATAAGATAAATATAATATAAGAATAATATAATGTATGTTTCTATTAAATGAATTTTATTTTATTTTTAGAAATCCAGAAGTTTATACAGTCCTTGCTCTAGAGGATGGTAGTGAAGATGAAGATGTTGAAGGTGATTGTGTTGAAGAAATGTTAGACCTTCATAAAAGGTCTATAATAGAAACACAATCTATTGAAAAACATGATGTAAGAATGTTTTTGCTTTTATTTTATTTATTATAAGTTATTTTCAGTTAGTCCAGTGTAATTTGATATATGTATCAAATTTTGTATTGAATAATATTTGAACGAAAGCATATTTTTTCTTCCTTAAAATTAGGAAGAACCAGTGAGCTGTTACTGCAGTGCATCACACACAGACAACAATTATTCCACAGATGAACATGACTCTGTTCGTGATTCGGCTCATCGTCCTACTGCACATTCCCTCACGCAAAAACTGGGTCTGCATCAATCAGATTCAGGTGCAGACCTATCTGAATATCATGATCAACATGAGGCTAAAAGCATACAAAACTTATTGGCATCATATGGAAAGACTTTTCAAACTACAGAGACTGAACTGGAAGATGAATTTGATAAAGTGAATATACTTGTACAGCACCAAGAAGATAAAGACTTAAAATTTGAATCTAAAATAATAAACATTCACTCATCAGATCATCTTACAAATAGTATCGAAGTTTTAAGTTATGATCCATCCATTTGTAATGAAAATGAATTTCATATAGAAAATCCATTATGTAATTTAGAAGACAAAGATTTTGAGATACATAATATATTTAAAAATGTTTCTTTGAATGATGGTACATCACAATCTTATAAAGAAGATGTTACACTTAAATATAAGTGTGATCATAAATCTCGTGATTATCCATATTATTCTATGTACTCTAAAACTAAGAGTATAATGGATATTGCATGGGAAAAATATTGGTCTGAAAATGGTGAACGCATAATTTGGACAACTTGGATTAGAAAATATGCAGATTATATAAATCCAGAATATTTACAACAAAATGTACATTTAATAAGTGACGAAAAATTAGAAATGAAAGAAGCTATTGAAAAATTTTCAGAACAAAATACATGTTTTCCTAGTCAAGCACATAGAAATTGTGAACTTGATCGCTCAAATTTTGAAGGAATATTTAGTAAAACTAATAATATTGAAGACAATGAAATAAAAGCAAAAGATGCATATAGTATTAATTTTTCCTTCGATGATGTAAGTAAACAAGAAGTAAGTGATAAAGATGCAGAAGATAATAGGAAAAAATTAACAAATTTCGAAACATCACCAGAAACTGGAGATGGTTGGAATCCATTAAGTCCATTTAGTATGGAAGAAAGTTATAACCAACAATCTAATGCAGAAGATGAAAGACTTTTAACAAGATGTGATTCTATTAATGAGTCAATAGCAAAGACAAATGCAACATCAGATTCTATGACAAATGTTACAAAAATGACTCTTACTAGTTCTAGTTGTGACTCCATTTCTACAAATTCATCTAGTCTCATCAGTTCTGTAACAAGTTCCATTGAAAGCAATATAACAAATACGAGTTCTGATCAAGAATATGCTCCAGAAGATACTGATAAGTATTGGCAACATTTATGGAAAGAAAATTTCCAAATAGAGTATCAAAATCATTATAAATTATTTATAGAAAAATACAAAAGGGAGCAATCTGAGATTATGAATGATCAAAATTATAATCAGGAACATAATGATATAGATATGAAAGAACAAGAAAGTGATGAAAGTATAGACCAAGATTTTACACAAAAAGAAATAGATATTCCTAATAAAATTAATATTTCTGAAAGTAAAAATGCATCTAATAAAAATTTTTCTTATGCTAAAAAAGAAAAAACAAAAAAGAAACGATTAATTATGGAATCAGTAGGAATGCTTATTCAAAATTTAATAGTTAAATCAATAGAAAATGAACCTAATGCAGATAAAAATGAAAAAATTAATGAAATGGAATGTTCACAAGAAGTTGAACAGGAAATTGATCAAACTTTAGTTATACAGAATGAAAATAGCACAATTATTTCTAATGATAACAATAGTATTAAAAAAAAATATCCTAATGGAGGAGATGGAGATGATCCTAATGAAGATAAACCTATAATATTAAAACGAAGGTATAATATATATATATCGCGTTATAATAATTATTTTTAATTTTTCAATACAACAAAATACAATACAAAAAAATATTAATGTAATATTTATGAGCATTTTTTTTTTTAGTCATGAAGCTGAATATGAAGAGACAGGAGAAGGTTTAGAATCGGTAAAAAAAGCATTTTCATTGATGGGATATACTTTCAACGAAAATTATGAGCAATCAAATTTCCAAGGAGAAGTAGTATATAGAAAAAAAAATATTAGGTTACAAAATAGACAATTAAAAATGAAATATTATAGATCCAAGCCAGCAAATAAACATATATACTTTGATGATAATGGAGTGGAAATTACTAACACTATAGATAAAGTAAATAAAATTTTTCATAAAGCAAAAATATATATAGATAGATTTTATTTATTTTGTTTTGTTTTGCAGGTGAAACATTATTTATCATATTGTCCTGTTTTGCCATCAGCAATAACAGAATCACAACCCTCTGAAAAAGGTTCCTACACAGCACAATTTACATCAAGTTCTGATGATGAATGTGATCGTAGTCTTAAGAAAAAATTGCAAACAAAACGATTTATATTTAGTAAACCAAGCACAAGTTCAATAGATTCAGGAGCAGATAAAAAACAATTTGATGATGTTCATGATACATTAAACATATTTGATAATCAGAATGATGTTTTTCAAAGTATCAAAAATGATAATATATACTTTGATCAAGATGAAACAAGTGATTCTACAAAGTGTGTATCAGAAGATCATTTTCCTGAACAAGATAATGAAAACTTTGATGCATTAAATATCGATATGGATATAGATGAAAATCATAGTAACAACGAAATACAAAATATGAAATTATCAGATGAAGATAGTATAAAAAAAACCCTAAAGAAGAAACGAAAGAAACAATCTAAAAGAAATATAAGCCTTCCAATAGAAATAGATAATGATAAAACTTTAATAAAATATTGGTTAAAAAGATATCGTCTATTTAGCAAATTTGATCAAGGCATTAAATTGGATCGTGGTATGTTCTTTAATATTATATATATGAAAATTTATTTTAAATTTATGTTAAGATATATTTATTAATTTTATTAGTAATCTTTTAATTTTTATAATAAAATATTTGTTTATAGAAAGTTGGTTTTCCGTAACACCAGAAAAAATTGCCGAGCATATAGCCGAAAGATGCAAATGCGATACCATAATTGATGCATTCTGCGGTGCAGGAGGAAATGCTATACAATTTGCTTTCACATGTGAAAGAGGTATGTTCATTTATATATAAATAATTAATATATAAATTCATAATATTTTTTTTTTTTTCACAGTATTAGCGATAGATATAGATCCAGTTAAAATCGAACTCGCTCGAAATAATGCTCGAATTTATGGTGTTGATGACAGAATAGAATTTATTGTTGGAGATTTCTTTACACTTGCATCAAAGTTAATCGCAGATGTTGTGTTTCTAAGTCCACCATGGGGAGGACCAGGATATGCTAAGAATGAAACTTTTGATCTCAATAATATTATGCATCCCATTGGTGGAGAAAATTTATTTAATATAGCAAGAAAAATCACAGATCATGTGGCCTACTTTCTACCTAGAAATGTAGATACTATGCAGGTAAATTTTTGTAATTTCATAAAATTCAAAAAATTTCGATATTCTATATTATTTTATAATATATTCTACAATAATTGCTTTGTTTTTTATACACATATACAAATTTACAGCTTGCCATGTTAGCCGGAGTAGGTGGTGGTGTAGAAGTGGAGCAGAACTTTCTGGACAAAAAGTTAATAGCTTTAACGGCATATTATGGCGAACTGCCCAGGGATTGTTAGTTGTGATATGATGTGTAATTTACGAGAAGATCCGTAACAGCTGCTTAAAAAAAGGAGCTTCTCACATTTTATGGATAATTAGCTGTAAATAATAACTCGTATCAATTTGCTTAGGCTATTCTGGAAAGCAGTATTTTTTATTTCATTTCACATTTTTTTTTTACAAAATGCATATAAAACGCCGTTATATACTATAATTTACTTAGCTATTTTAAACTTTCTATTGGATTTTTAAAAAATATGTTTATATGACACATTAGTTACCATTTTCACAAATCTCGCACTTAAGCAAATTGATACCCAAATTTCAATTTGTGAGACATATTTGTGAAATCCAATAATTAATATGTAAAATCTTTTAAAAAAATCATAAATTCAATCTTCCATAGCAATAAGTATTATTTTTACCTGATGATTAATTAAGTCAAAAAGACTAGAGAATTTTTCTTTAGTCCATCATGTAAAATATTATTTTAATCATATTGTAAACTATACGAAACATTGTAATTTACATTTTATATAACGGTTTCCAGATTATTATTTTACAATTTTTATGTACACTTCTACTAATTTCCTATTAATTATCAATAAATACATTCAAAATCTTAAATGTGTTTTAATATATAATAAATTATATTCATAATAAAATTTAAAATAAAAAATCTCAAAATTAGTTTCTTTCTTCAACTATAAAAACTTATTTTAGAGCAAAATAAAGCTTTTTTTGAACAAATATGAACATAGAATCATCAATTGCGATTAATTGATTGAAAATATACATGCTTCCATTTCTTTAAAATAATGTACAAAATTTAATTTTTTTAAACAAAACATTCGAATTATTAAGTTTGTTTTTGCAGATATAATATACAATTCCAAAAATAGTATCACAATTATGATTTAAAAAATTAATACATTAATTCTAGCATTTCTTTAAGAAAGAACAAGTTGATTCTCATACCTTCTAAGTAACGCGTGACTAGCATTTCTTCAATTATTTTTGAAGTATAAATTTCTGGTTTGTTTTAAATGTATAGAAACATTTTTCTTAATATAGTTTATATTTTCATGTATCAACATTAATTGTTGTTGCACCCGATTCTTCAGGTTCTGCAGGAATAGTTATACCACCAGTATCTATACTTTCTTCTTCTTCCCTTGGAATTTTTAAAAAACAATGCATTGTTTCTTCATCTTCTTGTTCAATTGTTGAATTATTTTTAGTTTCATTTTCTCTTGTTGGCAGTGAACCTTCAAGATGTTTTGATGGTATTTGTATTGTAATTGTTTGTGATGTACCATCTGCAGATGTTGAGGAAGACATTAAATTTGCTTCTAAAGTATCTCCCACTTTTGAAAAGGCACCTAAGCAACTATAAATTAATTGTGCCGCTGCGATATTACCAGGAAAAACTTCAACATTTTCGCTATCTAAAAAAAGTTATACAGTTTTATAATGATATTTACATATGATTTTAATAAAAAAACGGAATTTACCTTTCTTTTGCATATTTGCTTTGATTAATCCTTTTTCGTGATCTCTTACATGTTGTATATAACTTTGATTTTTAACAGTTTTAAAAGGACAAAGATCACATGTAAATAAACCAGACAATAAGGGATGTCTAGATTTTAAATGATTTTTATAACTACTACTTTGTATTGCAGTATAAGAACAATGAGGACATTTATAAGGTCTAAAACCTGTATGTTGCATAATATGACGTCGCAACGTATTGTGATCTCCAGTTTTATATTCACAAAGTTCACAACTAAATGGTTTATCGCCAGTATGTTGCCGTAAATGCATTTGCAACATTGCTTTCCTAGCACTAGAATGCCCACAAACATTACAAACATAAGGTCGTAGTTTTGAATGTACTGCTTGAATATGACTTTTTAAACATTTGGAATTTGCATAAGTTTTTCCACACATATCACATTTTTTCGATGTGTACCACCGAGTTACTTCCAATGTTTTACGATCCAAATGCATAACTCTATGATTACGCAATTGACTGGCTTGTTTAAAACATTTACCACATTCCGAACATTCATACTCACGAGTCTCACTATGGACACGCATGTGAGTTAAAAGTTTCACCATTGTAGCACTTTTATATGCTTTACATATTTTACAAGTAAATAAACCTATATCTAAAAAAAAAAAATATTTAGTAATAAATATATTTTAATGCATTATTATTCAAATATTGATATAAAATATTTACCAATTTGATGTTTTTTCCATAAATGTAAGCTGCATTGTCTCCACTTGGTAAATTTCATATCACGGCAAACGGTACATTTAAATGCTGTTCCGTTTTGTGATTCTGTATGACAAAGTGCATGTTGCTGCATTGTTTCTTCTGTAGAAAATTTATATGGACATCCTCGATATGAACACCTAATAAAATTTATGAATAAGTAAGTAAAATATATGCTTTTAAAATTCTTATAATACAGATATATATACAGATATACATACTTTATATTTCTTTCCATTAATTCAATCATTTTTTTATTGAGCATATATTCAGAATTTAAAGGTTTTTGAATCTTAACTTGACGTTTTATATCATTATTTTCAACACTCTGTCCTATACACTCTAATAATCCAGAATCTTTTGAATCATCTGTTATATTTTCTTTACCACCTTTATTGGCACCTGTGTCTGTTAATTGATGATCCTGAAATAACAAATATTATTATAATTATTTTTATTTACATTTTTGTTTTCTATTATATATAAGAAAATTAAAAAAAAATTTTAAATAATTACATTTATCATATGCTCTTTACAATCTTCAATAGAAGGAAAGCAATTAGAACATTCTCCACACATATATAATAATTTTACTTCATCAATATTTTTAGATTCTTCTTTTACCTGTAAAATTTATATTATTGTAATATCAATATAAATGTTACAAATGAAAAATTAATTTTAAAACTCACTTCTATATCCATTTTAGGATTTACATGTGTTTTTTGAAAGTGATGTAATAATTGTGTTTTGTCTTGAGTAGTATAAGTACAGATTTTACATTTGAATGCTGTTACAACTTCTACAAAATCATTAGCATTTACATTATGTTTTTCCATAATCAAATTCTTTTCATTCTGTCCCACGATAATTTCATATTGTTCTTGAGAATGTTCATCAATATTTTCAATTACTAATCCTTCATTAGTAATAAACTGTGATTCACAATTAACATCTTCTTTAGCCAATAACACTGTTTTATTTTGAGATTCATTTTCATCTATTATTTGATTAAAATCTAATTCTTGTAATTCTCCATTTTGAAATGCGTAAACCTGACCATCTAAGCAAATTAAAGAAATTGATTCATCCTCTTTTGCTACTTGTGATTCATCTATAATATTTATTGTACTTTGTTCTTGATTAGTTGATGCAGTTTTTGTTATATCTATAGCTGGATCTGATATAGTTTGTAAAATATATCTAGTGCCATTTATTTCATAACTTAAATATGAAGAATCTTCAATACTTCTTTCATTCATGGTGATTATATTTAATTAAATCATATCGTAAAAGTACTTGATATTTAAATTAGTAGTAACATTTTGCCTATAATACAAACATAAATATTAATATTTGCAGATAAAAAGTTAAATATTTATTTTTAATTTTTTTAATAAAAAGTTCTTAAATATAATTTATAAATAAAAATTTAAAATTATAGGATAATAATATATTTATATTTGAATAAATAAAGATATTAAAAAGTAAAAATATTATATTAGAGGTTATATATAAAGAATAGTATAGTAGTAAAGATATAAAAAGGTTATTTTAAAATTAATTGTTTACTTGGATTATATATTACCTTTATTACAGATATTTTATAAACTATAATAAACGTAGATATTTTATATTTAAAATATGTACAAAATAAATACATTATTTATAATAATATTTTAAAGTGCCGATGTTTATATAAATTAGTGAAGAGGTTATCTTAAGGTCGATTTGTAACATGACTTAAAAATTTAATTTTTTTTACAACAATTGAAGTCAATTTATTATATTTCTTAGATGTAAAATAAAAACTTTTATAAATTGTCATTTCTTCGTAATTAAGTATATTCACAACTGTTCAAATTCGAAAATCACGTTATACAAAAGTAACTCGCGCGTTCTACAAGTCTGGTTGGAAATTTCAAATAGGACTTTAATTTTACCTTAAATGGAAATAATTAATATATATATATATAAGTAAAAAGTATTACTTACGAGCAGAGAATTTAAGTCAAGTGATGAACAAGAATACTGAAAAAATGACATAAACGTCAAATTTTAATACATTATCCATGAGACCCGTGATATTCCACCATCTTGTATCACGTGATACCGCGGAATTTAGCATAATTTAGTAAATTTACGAGGGATATCTGGTATTTCATTCAATAACGATTTAAATATCTTTCCTTTTTTATTTGTATTTTATTGCATTTTATAAAATAAAAATACTTTTGGGATATTCCATAATGAATTATATCTTATTTAACAACTGAATTATTATTATTTTATTGTTAGTATCAACAATTGGACAAAAATTCTATGTAAGTTATATCTGTATATATATATATATATATATGTATATATGTAATTGTATATTGATATTTACATAATTGTAATAAAAAATAAATAACAATTTCAACATAAAAATATTTAGTCCATAATTATAATAATAAAAACCAACTTACATTTTATTGTTCTCTCATTAGATGCATATTAGGGGTTCTTTCAGCATTTTGTCTAGCAATTTCAGGAAAGAATTGTGAATTATATTTTTGTTTAATAGTAGATTTAGGGGGAGTTTTTGGAGTTATTGTTGGAACTGGATCTCCTCTTAATTTAGCCAATAAAGCTTCTGTTCTTAATTTTTCACTCTGTTCTCTTAACAATCTTTCTTCTCTCAATTTTTGTATATCTATATTTGGTTTTTCTGCTGTTTGTTTTTCTTTATTTCTATATTTTTCTTTCTTATGTTTTTTAGATTTTTTATGTTTGTGTTTTTTTAAATATGTTTTATGATCTGAATCATATTCATCTAGATTATTATTTTTTCTTTTAACAGATTCTGATTTAATTTTTGAAGATTTTTCTATAGAAGTACTTCCCATAATGTTCAAATATTTTTGGATATCATGAATAGGATCATCCAATAATTTTTTTTTAATTTGTACTTCTACATCTTTCTCAGTGTCTTTTAATCTTTTAGGTAATTCTTCATACCAACATTTTTTACCTGTTGCTTCATTAGTATCTTGTCCAAGATATGTAAGATAACCAATTTGTTTTTCATATTTTTCTTTCTCTTCTTTTTTTTCTCTTTCATGTTCAACATTAGGTTTATTATAATCAAGTTTTCCTTCTTCTAATTCAGCAAAAAAATTAACATGATTCCATTTTGAAGAAGAGGCATTTGTTGTTGCACTTTTTATTGCTTCTGTTCGTCCATCATATTTTGATCTAGCTTTTTCTCTCAAATGATTAATTCTAGCTTCAGCTTCCTAATAGAAAGTTGACAAATCCCATGATTACATAATCAATTAATAATTAATTAATGATTAATAATAATTTTCTTTTTCCTCATTTATACTTACTGCTTTTTCAGCTCGTTCTTGTTTAATTTTTTCTTCTTCTGCAGCTTTTGCTTCATCCCGCCGTACGCGAGCAATATTTTCCTTAGTACGTACATGCCATCTAAAAAAAATAATATGTATAATTTTGATGAAATATATAAAATATCAACATTATTAGATATGAATTACTTTTAATTATACCTTTTCTTCGGTAAAATATTCATTTTCAATTAAATATAATTGCTTCCAAGAATAAGTATAAATTTCTTATTGTAAACTTTATAACTTTATTTTTTTAATTTTATTAATAAATGTTTTAATTAAATCGTATAATATATACGTAAAATTAGATAAATAATTTAAAATCTATAATACAAAATATTTCAAAAAAGTTATAGGCGATTTGACAAGTTTAGGTTATTTTCCTATAGTAACAGCCATTTCTAATACAATAGATCGCATGAAACTAAAGCGTCGTGTTTTTTTGTAAGAGTTTAAAGGAGATCAAAATTTCTTCTTTCCATATTATTTTTTAAACATGTAAGTACAAGTTTATATGAAATTTTTTGTTATGAATAACAAATAATTTCATAAATTAAATAAAACTTAAATTATAAGTTTTTATAATATTTTCAATATTTATACATAAACTTAACCTTAAGATTAAATATTATATTTATTAAATTTTTTTGTTATTTTTAAGTTTAATCAGATTGTTATTTTTTTTGTTCTCATTTAAATTATTAACTAATTCTTTTGAAATATTATATATTATAATTATTTTTTATTATCATATTATTATATTAAATTTTTAGATATTTCTAACATGTACATTGTGTAATATTTTTCGTAGAAATTAAAGAAAAATACAACACAATGGCTGCTACAATGCCAATAAATCCAAAACCATTTTTAAATGGTTTAACAGGTAAACCTGTTATGGTAAAATTAAAATGGGGTCACGAATATAAAGGCTATCTTGTTTCTGTCGATGGATATATGAACTTACAATTAGCTAATACAGAGGAACATATAGATGGAAATTGTACTGGCAATCTTGGTGAAGTTTTAATCAGATGTAATAATGTAATGTATATAAGAGGTGTAGAAGAAGAAGATGAAGAAGGAGAAATGAAGGATTAGATTTTATATTGTTTATACATTAATTTAAAATGTTTATTTTTAAGTAAGATTAATTGTCTAAAAAATAATAAAATTATGTTTTTTAAATACATGTAAATTTATTTATCAATAATTATAACATTTAATTTATACAAAGTCTATAAAAACAATTGTTTCATTTAGATATCATTTTTTTTTTATTATGTTTAATTACCTTTTGGAACATTTGTTATGATAGGTTTTGGTCTTGATTTAAAAATTAATTTTTTTTTTACGATTGCTGTAACAATATATTCCGTTTTTTTCTCAGAAGTATTATCAATTATTTCATTACTTTTTTTAGTTAAAACTGCAAATGGTTTTGGAAGTTCCATTTCTTTTCCATGTAATACATGAATCCCAATTATAAGTATAGGTGTACCAGATTTTGAAAAATGCAAATCTCCGATATATTTATTTGTGATATCCACAGATTGAAATTTTAAATCACCTTGTAATTCAATAATAGCCCATTCTTCAATTTCTCCATCTCTATAAAATAATAAAAACTCATTATTTGTATCTAGTATTAAAATTGATTAATATTTTTTAATAATAAATAATACTTTTTTATTGGTATGATCATATTAAGTTTTGGCGGTAAGGAGAACTTACACACATGTAACATGTATATAATGCATAAATGTATAAAGTTACTAGATATTAGATAAAAGCTTAAGTCAAGTTTACAACAAAAATGAATGAACTAACTATACTTTGTAACAATTATTATTTATTGTCAGAGAATTAGGTTTAAATTTTAAGGTTTAAAAATATTGTTAAGATTATAAAAAGCATTACATAAATAATTTTATAAACAAGAACGTTACAAAATGAAATAAGAAGAATGAATTATTATTTTTCTTTTATATAATAAATCAGTTAATTATAATAATATCACATATTTTATATACTTACATATTTTTACATATCTTACGCTGTAAAAATGTACATGCTGAAATATGTATATAAGACTAAAATTCTAATTTTAATTTAGTTTTATTTCATATATATCATGTCTGAAAAGGGCAATTTATCTATTGCATAATTATTTGATAATTAAAATTTCAGTTGATTATCAAAAATTAAATTCTTACAAACTTTTTTTAAAAAAGATGTTATGCGCAAAGTAGGAAAATAATTTAATAATTTTGATTATGCAATGGTAATAAAATAGATAATAACATTCTCAACATATATATTTTATATAATTTTACTTGCATGTCAAATAATACATAAATTCAAAAATGTCTTTCAAAACATTATATTCTTTTAAAAAGATATTCATATGACAATGCAAGTTCATAATTGCAAACATAATATATAGCTATATGTATAGCTGTTTACAATTGGAATAATATTCATGCAAGAATGTTTTATTTGCATATATATCTATGTGCATTTTGTATATTTACTGCAATGTAGAAAGCATATATAGTATATTTTCATTCAAATATGAAAACAATATAATGGGGTTGTTGTTTTGGTCCTGTGCTTGTACATATAAAAGTGCAGAGGAACAATCCTTTGTTTTTAAAATGGATACCCCATTCTTTTCTAGTATTTTTTATGTTTTTGTGATGTATTACCTTATATGAGAAAGTGTCATACATTTATTACACATTCTCTTTGTCCGTAACATGTACATCTGCATATGTATATGTAAGAATGTTGCACATTATTAGCAATAAAAACTTACATATGCATGTGTAAGGATGTATATATCTACCAAGTATTGTCCTAACAGGACTTATATGTCATTTTATTACTATAAACATTTGATCTAAATATATTATTATACGACATAGATGTTAGAGGAATTGATTTTAAAATATCAGCAATTGATTGTCATTTAGGATATTACATAGGACCTTCTATCATACTAATTTTCATTGTACAGTAATAAATGCTGCGTCCCAAACACAAAAGTGCCAGGAGAAATGCACCTGAAAATAAAATTAAAAAGAAGCTAAATAAATAATTTATTACTTTAATAATATTTAAAAATATATTTCCATATATTTGAGATATTCTATATTATATATTTATTTGATTATTTATTTATATTAATTGAAATTAAAAAGATTTTAATTCTTACACTTACCAACATAAGCAACATAAATTCCACCACTAGTTTTCACATATGTATGTGTTCCAACCTGAAAACAAAAAAAATATTAATTATAATTTGTTTTAAAACATATATAAATTATTTTAAATAATTATTATATAATTTTATAAATATAAAATGATATAAAAATATATACTTACAGTCACAGCTATTGCAATTACTAAGGCTATTATTCCAACAATAATGAATGCAATACCTCGACCCCTAGCAAAATCTGGTCCAACAGAAGATATTTTTCGGCAATGTGGACATCGAGCCAAAGCATTATTCAAGGTATTAAACTAAGAAATGTAATAATATATATATTAATTATAATGAAATTATATCAAAATATATAATTTTTTATTTAATTTCTTACCAAAAATGTATCATGACAGTGAGCACAGCATACCCTACACATTCCAGGCATAGATAAAACAGGTGGTGTAATTGGACTTGGAGCAAGATTAATAATACGTTTACAGTTTGGCCTTGGACAAGCAATACGTTGTGAAGAACTCTTACATATTAATAAACAATTACATGGACAACGAACATATTTCTTTCCAGGTGGTGCATTTCTTATGGGCTAAAAAATATTTATTATTTTTAATTTTAATATGAAGTTTTGCAGTGAATTAAATTATTTTGAGAACGTACTGTAGCTTCATTGCATTGACAACATTTGACAACATGTTGATCTCTTTTACCAGAAATATCTATCATAGCCTGACAAACTCTGCAAGTAACCATAGGCATTCCACATTGATTGCCTGATTCATATGGAGGTGGTACTTCATCAGGACCTATTGCAGATACTGTACTGACTGTTGATTCAGCTTCATCTACAGTAGAATATAATAGGTAACAATAAGCAATCGGATTAAATAAACTTAATTCTTTCGTGAACAAGATTATGTATTATTTACCTACGAAATCGCTGGCATGTGAACTATAAGTGACATTTTCGTTTTTTAATAATGGTTGTCGTTCACCCTTCTTCCCGTCTCCCATGTCGATCTATTAATTTACCCTTTAATGACAACAATTTATTTAAAGTATTGTTTGACAGTACTCCCGGTGCTTCGATGACAAGGATGACAAAATAAAAATTTTTCTAAAATCTTCCCTGGTTCTGCCTGCTTATAGAGTAGAAACTATCTGTTGGAATATATATATACTGTATTATTATATTATAGATCTTTAACGGATTAGTTTAGGAATTCTACAGCCACCTCAGCATTTTCATACGTTGGCTACCCTGTTACTCAATAGTAGTGACGTCTCGTGATAGTACTTAGAGGTTATTTTTCCTTTTTTTTTTGCTTTTCTAACGACAACAAAACTGTTATTAATAAGTGTAGTGATATTGTAAAAATCAAGAATTTTTCAAAGTACTAACGCGATATATTTACAAAACATAAAACCATTCTTATTGTCTATTATTTCGGCATATTTTTAATACAATTTGATCAGTTTCACTTCTTAAAACACACTTTTTTCTATACTAGAGTTAACGTATCGCATTGTTGAAGCGGAAATATTTGATCATCGAAAATATATTATCTATATATAAACTATATGTAGATTTATCCGAATGATATTTTCATAATATCGCTAATAAAATATTGCTTTATTTTTGATATATTTTATCTTGTGTATGTGCGTGTATGTTTGTAAACAAGATATATGGAGAGAATAACACATTTATGGAATGTGAATCAATTTATTACAAAATTAAATTGTTCACAAAGTAGAAATTTGCAAACGTTTTATATGTAAGTTATACTTTATTTATTAATTTATTTTAAGAGAATAAATTAAGTTAAATGTGAATATAAGTTGAATTTATATGATATTATATTACATATAGAGAAAAATGTAAAAAGTTTAGTCATGCAATACATTTGTCATCTCAAAATTTTGGTCCCTCGGTAATGTGTATATATTGTGGATCACTTTGGAATACAATGAATTATACTATTCGAATATCACGAGGTAAACCACTTTCAAAATCCATTAAAAAAATTATACATTCTATGAATAATAGTGAAAAAAGAATATCGAAAGTTCAGAGAACTTTAGCGAAAAAATGTTTAAAAAATAAAATGAATAAATTAATACTTAAATGTTCAGTTTGTTTAAAAAATACTGAAATATCTCTTAATAAACCTCAAAAAGAAAAAGTACAAAAAATTACTTTAGAAAATATTCAAAGTTCAAAAAAGAAGAAAAAGAAGAGAATCAAGGATAAGACTGCTGGTTTAAACATTTCTGGAATTTCAAGCTTAGATGCAAAAGATGTTACAAAAGAATTAAAAGAAAAAAACAAAGAAAAAATGGAAAGCATTAAAAATTTGACCACACCAAATCAAAAATTAAAAAAATTAAATATAAAAAAATTAAAAGATGTTATGAATGAACATGCAACATCTCGAAAAAGGAGAAGTTTACATAGTTTTTTAACAGAACTTTGTTGAAAATAATTTATTGTTAAAGTATCTTATAAAATGTTCTATAAACACAAAATCTTTTATTACATAAAAAAACATTTATCACGCTCCATTTATATATATATATATATATATATA